AAGGTCCAAGGCAATACTGGAATTTTGGTCCAGTTCAGGGTTTCGAGAAAACCCACACTGCATGTACATCAGGTCTCACCCTGGTGGCTATGAAGATTCTAAACTAACACGAGTCTCACAAGTGTTCAGTTTAAGGGTATTACATAGAAACACACCACAATGACATGAATCAATTATGTACTTTATTCATTTACAGTAAATGTCAAAAGGTACATCAATCTAATTGGAGCTAAGGGCATAAATGTCTAACAGCTCCCACTTGCACTTAGGTCCAATCGGGTACAAGCTGGAGTCCCATACTTTCCACGTGTTTCTCAAACACCTTCTGTGTCAATGGCTTAGTCAATGGTCTGCTACATTTTCCGCTGATGCTACCTTCTGAATCAGGACGTCCCCTCTTCCAACTATCTCCCGCAGTACATGGTACTTCCTCTCGAGGTGCTTCGACTTTGAGTGGGCTCGTGGCTCCTTAGCCTGAGCAATGGCTCCAGTGTTGTCACACAACAATGGAATGGGTGATGTGCTGGATGAAACTACTCCTAATTCCTAAATGAACTTCATCCAAACGGCTTCCTTGGCAGCTTCACTTGCGGCAATGTATTTGGCCTCAGTTGTGGAATCTGCAGTGGACCCCTATTTGCTGCTTTTCCAGCAAACAGCACACGATCCTATCGTGAAGATATAACCAGATGTAGACTTTCTATCATCTGGATCTGACTGAAAATCGGCATTAGTATACCCCTGGATCTGTAGTGAACTACCATCGAATACTAGACAAAACTCTTTTGTCCTTCGAAGGTATTTTAGTATGTTTTTCACAGCGGTCCAATGCTCTTGCCCTGGGTTAGATTGGTATCTTCTTACCACACTCACTGCCTGAGAAATGTCAAGACAAGTGCACAACATGGCATACTTGATGCTCTTTACGGCTGAGGCATAGGGAACCCCTTTCATGCCCTCAATCTCTTCGGGAATCTTGGAAGACATACCCTTGGAGAGAGTGACTCCATGCTTGAAAGGAACATTTCTTTTCTTGGAGTTCTCCATGTTGTATCTCTTGACTATTTTGTCAATGTTAGCAGACTGGGATAATCCTAGTATCCTCTTCGATCTATCTCTATAGAGTCGAAGACCTAGTATGTAGGAGGCTTCTCCAAGATCTTTCATGGAGAATTGTTGTGACCGTAGTTAACATGCCTACATCATTCCCAATGAATAGAATGTCATCTACATACAGAACCAAGAACGTAACCTTATCACCACTGGTTTTCCCGTAAACACAGGGTTCATCCAGATTTTGCTCAAAGTCAAACTGTTTGATGGTAGAGTCAAACCGGATGTTCCAACTCCTAAAAGCTTGCTTAAGTCCATATATGGATCGATTGAGTTTACATACCATGTGTTCCTGACCTGCAGCTATGAAACCTTGTGGTTGTTGCATATAGATATTTTCAGTAAGATCTCCATTCAGGAACACAGTTTTGACATCCATTTGCCAAATCTCGTATCATGGTATGCTGCTACATCTAGTAGGATCCTAATGGATTTAAGCATGGCCACAGGCGAGAAGGTTTCCTCATAATCGATTCCCTCTTTTTGAGTGTAACCTTTCGCCACTAGACGAGCCTTGTAGGTCTCAACTTTACCATCGGGGTCCTTCTTCATCTTATAGATCCATTTGCAACCAATTGCCTTTACCCCACTCGGCGGATCTACTAGAGTCCAGACTCCATTGGTCTCCATTGAGTCCATCTCAACTCTCATGGCATCTACCCACTTCAAGGAATCTATGTCCAACATAACTTCCGTATAAGTCACGAGATCCTCCTCACTAGTTGTGGCTTCCACCAAGTAACTTTCTTGGTCATAGCCAAAATGAATTGGAGGCCTGGAAACCAGCATAGATCTCCTAGGTTGGTTATTTTCTGGAGCTAGTGGGACATCTCCCACTACCCCTGGGCTCTCCTCATCAAGAACAACTTTCTGGTGATGATTATCTAGGATGTAATCTTCTTCTAAGAAGTGGGCATTTCGACTGTAAAACACTTTTTGCTCTTTTGGATCATAGAATAAGTAACCCACAGAGCCTTTGGGGTAGCCTATAAATAGGCAACGATTGGTCTTGGATTCCCATTTGTCAGCACTTGTTCTTTTAACATGTGCTGGACAACCCCAAATCTTCAAGTGTCTTACACTTGGTCTTCCACATCTCATTTCCCCACATTTAATTGAGATAAATTTTTTTCTATGCCATCCTGTAGCATTACTAACTCTTGAATCTTGATATTTGCCTACAAAAAATTTCTTCTCTCCTTACCACCTTTTCCCAATCTTTTCTTCTACTTCTACCTCCCTCATCCAAGGAGCCATTTTGTTCTTTTTGATCTAAATCATCCAATTCCTCAAGGATTTTGTTTTTTTTTTTTTTCTTCAAAAGCCTTAAATTCCTCCTTTCCCTAATATTTTGGCTTCCTCTTTAAACTCTTCAACTTCTGCAACATTCAGTAACCACCCCATCCCTTCATTCTAAACTCCCACCAAGCAGCCACTTTTTAAGAGAATCATTGTGAAGAGTCTACATCTTCTCCAGTCTAAAAGGAGTTTTTCCTCTTACCATCAAATCAATTCTTAGGGCATTTGGCCAATGATCAGAGATACATTGAGGTCGGATCTCCTGAATGAGAGTAGGGAAGTGCTCCTCCCAATCTGAAGTCAATAAAAGTTTGTCAAGTCTACAATTAACAACATTCTCCTACATGTTTGACCAAGTGAATTTCCTATTGTGGAGAGGGAGGTCATGCAAACTATGCGTAGCAATGGAACTGGAGAAATCTCTCATGCTCCCTGGTTAGTCATTTACCATTAGAGTGCTCATGGATAAACCTCATGACATGGAAATCACCTTCAATGCAGAAGGGATGTCACCATGTTCATGGAGTGAATCCAATTCATCCCAAAAATTTCCTCTTTTTGATAGAGAATTCGGGCCATGCACTCCTGTTAAAATCCAGCTAAAACCATCCAATTTGTTGGTAAGCAATATGGAGATTGAAATTCCTTTATCAACTTCAACACCAGAAATATCCTCTTCCTTCCGTACTATTAAAATTCCATCCAAAGCACTAGATACAGGAAGAGCAGCCCTATTTCTACCATTAATTCTCCTAACCTTTTGTTGACTACTTTTTTTTTGTTTTTTGGATTTCTTGAAAGATAACTATATTAGGGTTTTCTCTTCTTAGGGTATATTTTATAAGAGGAACCTCTTCCAACTCTCCTCCCAATCCCCTAACATTCCAACTTAGAATCTTCATTGGTTCATAGCAGCTTACTTTCCCTTAGCAATCCTCTTCCCTACCGAGTTATGATACTTCAGTTCCTTGTTGGATCCCCTTCTCAAACCTTTTCCCGCCCCCTTTCCACTCCTATCAATTCCATTGCTTTTGAGAGTTTGTCTATCACAAACTTTCTCCACATTGTTAATCCCCAGTTTCCTTGCCATTTTTGCAATCTGACCCTCTGTCTGCTCCTCTCTTTTGTAATTTGATGAACCTTCAGGATACTGGCTGCCATTCATCAGGTTAGGAATATCTTCTGGTTAAGATAGTAGGCCATTTGAACTTGAACATCAAAAAAGGAGGGATCACAATGAGAGGCAGAAGTAGGAGAAAAACTAAAAGGAAAACAAGGACAAAGATTAGGGTTAGAGGGCAGATGTTCCCCAAAAAAAATGTTTGGGGAGGGTTTTGGGGCAAATCTCCTCATCTTTTAGCAAGGCTCCCAGGTTCAGAAAAGTTCCATAATCCGGGTTTACAAGTTCCATCTGCTCCAACAGTTATTCACTCCCTCAGGCTTCCCTGTCTGACATGAAAGGAAAGGGAGATTCACTTCCTCAAGCCCATCGCTACCAAAGATGGTTGATGGTTCTAGCATATGGCGACCAAGAGGCAAGAACCTGGAGTTCAACTGAGGGGTGAAACAGTAGAGCATCACCAGTAGACTTGTTCATGGGATGGGCTTGGGCTTAGCATTTTCCAAAATTTGAACGGGCCCAACCTGAAGCAATGCAAAATGTTCACGGGCCAAGCCCGAACCCTGGCCCATGAATAGGTCTAATCACCTAAAGCCTGGCCCAACCTGAAGCAATGAAAAGCCCCATATTTACTAATGTTGTCCATTCATTGATCCTAAGAAAAGATGTTTTTAGAAGAATTAAAATTATAAAATCTTTGGGCTTGCCTTGAGGGGCTTGGTACAAAAGTGGTTCATAAAATCAGGAATGCATAATGTTTAACATCGCATTAGCTATTTGAAGTAATGCAATTGGGATAAGGCTTGTCGATTTAACAATTGTTAGCATTGAATATAGCAGAATGGGGGTACCAAAATGGTTGGGATAAGGCTTTGTCAAGTTTCACTACTCGTTTTACGAAAAATATATGATGATATTATCTTGTTGAGCACATCAAAGCAAGCACCTAATGTGAATTATATATCATTATGTAATTACCATCACTATGAAATTCACTCTTCTGGTCATAAACTCTTGGAAGAATCAATTTTTTATGGTCTGAAATCAAGGATAAACCTCCGTTGAAGTAATCTTACATGTAAAGCAAACTTACATTCATATACCCCCCTTATCAAAATAAAGAAAAGTGGAATGGAAAAAAGAACAGAAAAGAAATGGATAAAATGTAGGAAAGTAATGGTAGCAGAACACTAGCATGGAATGATGGAAATATGCTTCCAAACTAAAGAAAAGAGATACATGCCTTGAAATGTTCTTACAATGGAACATACCTCCAAGATAAGAGAAAATATACAAAAGAAAAAAAAGTAAATTGGGTTGATGATAATAGTGGCAAGTATTTATCCTATTTCTGATCCTCTAACCTGACACGGACAAGCATTGTCTTCGAGGATTTGCTACCAGATGGTTAAATCATATGGTTTGTTCCCTCACTTTTCATCTGACTTTATTGCTTTTACCTGCACAGATGGAAACAAGGGGGAACGTCTGTTCCAAGTAAGTAGAAAAACAATAAACAAATTATGTTTTGATAGATACTATCGGGAGTAATAGAGTGGATGCCAACAGTCGCTGTTTTGATTGCAGGCACCCCCAGCATGCGAATGAGAAGGCACACACAAGACACTATTGGAGGATCAAAGGCGTGAGAGGTTCATGGTAAATTTTGCTACTGCATATACTGCATAATTTGTTATTTATTCTTTGATTTTGTTGCATATTCCGTGTTTCTGCAACTTTCAAGTGCTGGCATAAATTCCCTCTAGCAACAGCCTAGGTTGTAAATACCTGTAAATTGTAAGTAACAACTTGTCCACCGAACCATGTTCTTAATTCTATCATCAAATGTTGTGGCGGTGTTCTACAAATGTTCTTTGTTTTCTTTTGTTTTCGAAATTGCCACATCAGCAAAAGAAACATGTTCTTGAACTGTGTTTTCATTTTGAAAAGCAAAAACAAGTTAGTTTTGTTTCATAAAACAATACATGTTTTTGAAACCATCAATATAATTAATTTTAAAACAAAAATAAATTTTGTAGTATAGAAATTATATATTATAGAACATTATATTAAATAACCATGAAAATATCATCTTTGAACCAGAAATTCAAGAACGTGTTTTTTTCTTTTTGTTTCAGTTTTGGAAACATAAGACATAAATAACCAATGTTTTTGTTTTCTAACTAGTTGGTTTTGTATTATTTATAAAGTCACAAGAAGAAAAACAATTGATATTGGAGAACACCTCTAAAGTTCTGAGATCAATTATTCGTCAGCTAACAGTTGCATTGCGTCAAATGGTCATTTGCACATTCTCTAATGCATATAAACATTGAATATAGAGAGACTTTTTCCTTGAATCATGTTGCCTGCGTCCATCTTAAACCTTCAATTAGTGCAAAACCAACCTTAAATAATAACGCATCCAAATAAAACATGTACCTTCGTCCATGTTTTATATCATTAGGATAAACCACCACCCCATGCTTAGCAGTAACATACATATACTTGGCCACGCCAATTTCATTCAGCTGGATCCCTGATTCTCTGCAAATTCCTTGCAGATGGCTGTAAGTTAGATAAATAAAGCCAGTTTTAATATATTTTTTCACGAACTAATGCTAGAAATCCGATAAGCTAATTAGTAATTCCAAGCTGAATTTTTCAATTGGGTTCATTCAACGATATAGTATGTGTTTGGTTCCGTTTATATTTATTGAGTAAATACTGTTACATAGGCACCCCATCAGCAAAGGGCTCATTATGTGCATCGGTACGTATTGATGTATGCAAAAGCAAACATCAATTTCATTGTACCTCTCCCGTTTCAGGAAGTTTTATTTTGGAGCTTCTGGGTAGGCATTTATTGGCACTTTGCTGATGTGGTGTCTAATGGCATCTCTATGTCAAACGCCCTCATTGATTGCTTTTCTTGGTTTTGCAGCCACACACGTACAAAACATTTACTCAATAACGTAAACGGAACCAAACACCCTCGTACTAGTGACTATGAACCGGATGAATCTAGTAGAAGAGGCACATTGCTTACCCCATCATCCAGTATTTTACACAAAAAACTGTAAGAGTAAGAATTTGATGCGGACTCACTAAATAAGGGTGATTTTCAGACCATTCAGAATCTGCTGCGTCATTTCAATGTTTAAAATGGTCAAGAGCGTTTTCTCACTCAAAACCCCTTTTGGGCTGTTTGGCATTGTTGCTGTTTCCTGGAGCAACAGTGCCACATAGGAAAAAACGGTGTTTTCAGAAACAGGCATTTGTTTAGAACCAATTTTTCATAAAAAATGGTGTTTCATGCCACGCCTCAGAAATTGGGAAGCCATGGTGATGGAGATCTTATCACATGGCTTGGAGCAACGCCAATTTAACGTTTCCTGGAACTACAGCTTGTTGCTGCCAACAGGGCAGTGATGTGACATTGGATAATGGGTACTAGTGCTGAAAACGTTTCCTGGAGCAATGGTACCAAACAGAAAAATTTGTTGTTGCTCCAGGAAACGTCTTACCAGACAGCAACAATTTCAAACAAAAATAAAGATATCATTTTTTGAAAAAACAGTGCTCTAAGCCACACATCATCAGCATCCTTTTCTCATAAACCTCTTGGCCATCCATCCTTTATCTCGTCTAAACCCTCACTACCTTTCTCTAACCATCTCTGTCCTGAAGAATTTTTTCAGCCATATTTTACCATTTCTTCTCTCTCTTCATATTTATTTTTTCTGTCAAAACCATCAATGAAACAAAGAGAGTTTCATTGTCTGTCCTTGTCGTTTCTTCACAAATCCTGACTAGTTGCTCTTATGGAATCCATCAACAAATATCTCCTCATCTCTCTCTCTCTCTCTTTTGTGCTTTTTGCTATCTGGGTTACACTTGTGGTGATGGTGATTCATTTTTTGCAAATTACAGCTTTTTTGTAAATTACACTTATGGAACCCATCAGAATCTCCAACTTTTTAAAATTTAAATCATGTTATTTTGTATTCTGATATGAATTCTTGCTCTTTCTCTTTTTTTTTTTGCAAATTACAGCTTTTGGAAATTTGTAAACAAATTCAAAGAAGGAAAGAAAAAAATGGGAGAAACGTTTGGGAGAGAGATTCTGATCTGGATTCCTACTCTTTCTTGAAACCAAAACTCTTGGAGATCAATTATCTTATTAAACAGTTACAGAGAACCAAAGAAATAAGATGACGGAATAAACCGGGGCGAGAGAGAGAGAGAGGCCAAGCAGGTCAGAGAATCCTTTCGTTCATCAGTTTTCCATTTGATCGCAAAATCTAATTTAAAGAGATGTGGCAAATTATGAATGGTGGACCGAAAATGTGTTTTCCGGTGCAACCGGATTGAATTTTTATTGAAAGTTGAAACTGTAAATTTATACTTACCAGATGACGAGCATTTGTGTTTGCGTCTGTGTGATATAGGGGTTAGTGATTAAATGGCCAGAAATTAAGAATTTAGTTAATATAGTAAAATTATTCTAAATAAGACAAGAAAAGAACGTTGTCAGATTGAAATAATAAAATCACAAAATGAAATATTCTTGGGCATGGATGGCCAAGAGGTTACACTCACTGCAGCATTCAATGGGTTTTAATCTATCAATGTATTTTACACGTCTGGATCAGGTGGGGACACATGGTCGGCTCGAAATTTCTCTCATAAGCATTCAGTTACTTGGTCGGCTTTACTTGATATGGACAAAGTGGATTTTGTTGGTTTTGTGACAGGATATCTTGCAAGCAATAACCTCACACTGAAACAACGGGCATTCAGTCATACATCGAAAGCATCTCCCTATGAATTTAACATATATGTACAGAAAATATTCTCCATCAGCTGCTGGAATGCCATGTATGCAGTTTTTGCTTGCAGGGTATCTGGGCTCAGGTTCAGTCTTTAAGGCTCTATTTGCTTGCAATTCTGGTACAAACTAGATGGAGGTGCTAATGAGAATTTCACAAAATTTGATTTTTTTTTATTCTATTTTAGGTTTTATTTTACTTGATGCACTGCAAACAATAAGACAGTGAAACCTATGACATGACTATCAAAAAAAGTGAAAACTAGACAAAAAAAATGGCTCAATTCTTTTGCATTCCCATACTTTTTCACCAAAGCAAATGAATTTCCCTACAAACAAGCAAATAGTAGTAATTTCTAGTTATTTTTTCTGTTTTGGTTGTTGGTGGTTACTTGGTTTGCTTTGGCTTGTCTGTGTAGTTCTTCATGTATTATATTGGTATATCCTGTGACGTAGGTTTGTCAATGAGTCGGGTCTGGGTTGGGACAGGGTGTTCCAGTCCCGAATAAAGTATAAATTGGGACAAAATCATAGACCCAATAATCGGGATAATTGGATCTGACCTAATTATACTAACAGTAATTATATAAAAATTAACTCATTTTTATTTATTTATTTATTTATTTATTTTGCTTCATTGGGCTATACAATGAGAGTAGCCCATTCTTCTAAACCTCCCAACCCTAGTGGCAGTGGGTTTTGATCCCAAGTCTTTATTCAGATGAGAACCTACCAACTGAGTCACCATCAGTTGATCTTTGATAATATAACCTTAATAAAAATGGTAAAATAATAGTAAAATGGTAAATCACTTATATGTTAATAAATCAAATGTTTTAGACTAAAATAATTTCATATTAATTATCAAATTTGTCATTTTAGACATAAAATTTAATTAAAATTATTAAAAAGAAACTTTACATATTATTAAGAAAATGATCATTATCTGGAATGAACAAGAACCAGAAGCAGAACCGATATAATCAATTCTGTTCCATTTGATCAATCAGATAGAACCAACCCATTGACAGCCCTATCAGGAAGTTGCTGTTTCTTGTATGAATTTTTTATCCACCCCAAAAAGATCGTCGGATAGATATATATTTACGCTCAACAACCAAGTAAAACAAAGTGAAAGACCTCGATTGCAAACTGAGATCACCCTTCAAAGCTCGAACGAATCAGCCACGACAAATTTTGCCTGAAAGATTCAATCCGAGTAAATAACATGCACATGGGTTCACTTACCCCAACCGTAGACCAACCAGACCAGCTTGAGCTTGCATTCATAAACTTCCTGTACAATGGACCTTCACCAACAAGCTGGAGCTCCAAGTTACTGATCAACATCATTCAATTAAGCAATTATTATAACACAACATAAAAACCTCTAAATGGAGGAATTGCAGACAAGGAATGAAATAACAAAAATCTCACATTTCTATATTATCATATCATGTAGTGTAGTGAAGTGCCAGCAGGGTTTCTATAATATCAAGGTAATCAGAAGATTTCTCTGTCCAAGAGAATATAATACCCACAGCTTTCCGTATAATTCCTGCTGGACTTCGAAACATAGTTAACCGAATGATCTTCCATGAACTTAGATTTGCACAACCCACATCGGTCTATGAGAATTGACAAGTGTTTGAACTCTATTTCTTTTTACAGCATATAACCACACAGTCCACAATCACGATGGTCGTGCCACCTGTTTGGTGCAGCATTCCATCAATGTCATCTCCATCCTCCATTTCAAGCTGCAGTGACAGAAGATAAATTTCAGTTCAAGATGTATGTACTAGGACATAACGTGGCACACAAAGCTCTCTCACTCCATGTTTAAAATAAGCCCTTTTATCAATAAATTTTATATTATAAATTGAAGCCTTTGAAAGAAATGAGCTAGCTGGGAAATCCACCAATACAAAGTGGGGTATCATTATATGACAGATTATGAAGTCTGCTCTCCTCGGAGATTGCTCAACCGGTCAAACCAGAGAGAGAGAGATCTCCTCTGGAGTCTGCTCTCCTCGGAGATGACGACCATCAAACAAAAATGCAACTGAATTAAGCCTATCACAGTATGCATTCATGAGTTTTCGCAGTTAAGTGCTCCTCTTGATCTAAAAAATACTTCGTTACCATCCTATAATTAAGCAGGCAATATACTAATGTATTTAAGACAAATCTGATATTTTTTGGAGGAGAAAACTGAGAGTATTTTTTATATGTAGAACTTGCAATTATATTCTTTATAAACTATAAATTATGTTTAAAATAATAATATTATAAAGAATAGACAATTTTAAAAGACATATTTAGATATATTTTGAAAATACATGGATATGATTGAAAAATTAAGATATGCAAAGATGCATTGAGAAAACTCGCATAAATCCCAAAAAAATAGAACAAGAACACTAAATCTAAGGCTTAAATGACCATGGATAGAGTATAGACACATAAAAACACACAAGTTGACAAGTTATGTGGTGCGAACTATCAAGATAGGCATAGAAAATATTGGGAAATAGCAGGAGAATTAAAATATGCATTACGTACTTTATCAAACTAATATAAATCTTATTATTAATCTAATACTTCAAAACATCATGGTTTCAAATTATGAAGTATCGGTAGCTTTCCGAAACCCCAAATGGGGCAAGTGAAACATTTTTGAAAAAAAAAAAAACTAAAAAAAAAAGTTATGAAGTATTGAAACACTTGATATGCTTGTTTGTTAGGGGTGAGAAAGAAAAATTGAAAAATCGAATCAAACCGATGAGACCAAACTGAAAATTTCAGTTAATCAAACTGATCGGTACAAGTATATTTCTATATATTATATGTATATTTATGTATTATTATATATTTTATATTATTCATATATTATAAATTAATAATTATGCATTATATATAAATATATATTTAAAACATATAATATATTATTTATTTATTAAAATATAATATTATATATTTCTAGTTTTTTATTATATATATATATATTTATATATTTATTTATAATATATAGTATAAATATAAAAAAACCAAAAAACTGATGAATCAAAACCGACAGTTAACCAAAGTGGTCAACTGGTTAACCAATTGGCTTCGGTTCTGTTTCAGTTACCGGTTTGGTTAACCAATTAGTTTAAAAAATAAGCCCACAGTTTAATTAACCGAACCATAAACACCCCAACTGTCCGTGTTCGTGTGTATCGATACTTTAAACCTTGCCATCCTCTAAGCCTCGTCCCAATCATATGGGGTCGACTACATGAATCCTGTTTTCCCATTATTACAATTAATATATTTTAATTTAATACTTAAAAATGCTCATAAAAAATCAATACTTAAAAACTAACTATAAAAATGAATTGATTATTTTCTTTCTTTAATTGATATAACATTATCAAGTGAAAGTTCGTAAAGGTCACAAGTTATAACACTTAAAACCCATGTTATTTTATAAGAATCTTGCCTTTCATGTGGATGACCAGAGTTTAAATCCTAATTAAAATAGAATACAATTTCTAATACTATGGTTTCATTAAGCATTTAAGCCTCCTACATGTATTGTCTCTTTTTTAAGTTAATTAAAGCTACACGTTGCAGCAGGAAAAAAAAAAGAAAAAAGAAAGCCATCTGGTTAGTCTGTTGGTAAATGATCACTATATATAGATTGTGTTTCCGGTCTTCATTATCAATAAATTACAGGATGACATGCACTGGTGAAAGAGAAAAGGCAATTAAAAGCTTAAAGGCTAATAACATCAACATTGGATCCTAACTAATACTTTCCAGAGTCAATAATGCAAACCCTTGGAACATTCTGAAATAGATGATGATTTGTTAACATCTGTACCACAGTGTGCTGAATGCTAGCACCCATGAAACATCTCAACTTTAAAAGGCAAATGAAGCAAATATAACAGCCAATCTAATTAAGCTAGATATTATGCAGGTCCTTAAATAAATGTTTTTAAGCCCATGCCAAATCATATAACTTTGACAAAACTAATAAATTAAGACATAGATAAAAGAAAACAGATCAGGTAAAAAGCATTTAATTGTTCGTGGTGGTGATTTTATACAAGTGCAACATGCCAATAATGTAACAGAGAGATTGACTAGAACAGCTTCATAATTGATAGTGTGTTGTCTATTGTCAAAAATCCAAAACTATTGCAATGACAAAATGGCAAAGGAAATTAAGGAACAAGTTAAGTTGAGCGGTTGAAGTAAAAATCTTCATATATTTTCCACTTAAAAAGGGCAGCTCAATGCAAGAGACACTCGCCATATATCGCCAATGCAGGGTCTGGGGAGGGAAGTATGTAGCTTGCTTCTGATCGGTGTCACCATACGGGGAGCTGAGTTCATTGAGCATCCACATTAGCTGTCGGATGTGGGAACTGTTCTTATCCAAGATTGCTCTAGCAGCAGTCTCGAGGAGGTCAGGAGTCAGGACAAGGAGAGTTGAAAGCAAACTCATGAGATCAGGGTTCAAATCCGTGAGTGGTGGTAGTCTAACGACAGGAAATTGTTTTAACTCAGAAATTAACCCGTTGTGTTCCTTCACCGATTGAAGCCAGAGTAGTCTTAGACCATATTCATTACTTTTTTTTAACTCCTAAAACC